TGCCCTTCCACTCACTGGCCAACTTAGCCCTCGTGCTTTCTGAACAATACCTGCCTCTGCTCCTCTCGCCCTTCCATAAGAGCCCTCCCTGGGTGCCCCCCGCCTGAATGCCTCAGTGGAGGAATTCTGGTCAGGGAAGACAGTCTCCCATGCTCAGGCCCCTTCCTCTGCAGGGACAAAGATACGGTCTCTTTTAGTCAGTTATCTTGGCCTAAACTACTTTCTCCTGGAGACAGGTCTGCACCGCCACTTCTGAATGTGAGGCCCGTGAGGCACCCCTTAGCACAAACATCTCCCCATTGCGTCCTCCGGATGCATCATGCTGGAATTCTGCTCACATCCAGACCCAGCCCAGTGTGACGGCAGAAATGCTTGCCAGAGTGGGCCACGGTAGACTGTCGTTATTTCTTACCAAACTTCCTGTTTTCTCTGGTGCTAATAGCTGTGGCTTGTTTGCATGTGCTTCATTTTCTAAGTGCTCATTACTAACTCAGCCGTACTCTTTGTTCCTTGTCTCTGTCAGAGCACCCAGACTTCTCTGTGGGGCAGCAGACACAACATGAGACATGACTCGGGCACATGGAGCAGGGAGGAGCTGGCACCCAGCATCTATAGCACCATGCGTGGCATGCAGCTACAGCAAGCTCTGGTCACAGGGCCTTGAGACAGTTTCTCCTGTCTGGAAAAGCCTTAGACCAGCCGGGTCCAGCTGCATGCTGCTCTCAGCCACACCCTGGGCCTGCCCCCTCCCCCAGGTGGTACCCCTGCTGTAGTCTACATCTTCTTTCCTGACGATCTCCCTTGTTTCACTGAGCACATCCTCAACCAGTTACAGGAGAAAACTACACAGTGGCAAGATCTGAACATGAGCAACACACCACTTCCTACTTCACATGTGATTTAGCTCCAGTGCTGCAGGCTGGGCCATAGGTTCTTTGAGAGACACGGCTCTCACTTCTGGGCTCCTGCTCAGAAGAATAAGCTCATCTGACAGCAGATCTTCTGACAAATGATCTATTTCTTTCCTCTCTGGAAGGTTACAGAGTCTTTCCCCCTGGTCCCATGCTTTGAATTTTCACAGCAGACAGGGTTGTGTGCCCTGTCACCCACTGACAAGACCAAGCATCCACCAGAACCTGGAACACCCCCCGCCCCTGTTCCATGAGGTGCCCCCTCCATTCACTTCTGGAGTCAAGAGTATCAGGTGTTGGACCTCTGGTCATTCCTCTTCTCTTCCTCATATTTCCCATCTTATGGCTCTTTTGCTCTACTTTCAGATAAACTTTCTCAATTTTATCTCATACGACTTCTATTTAAATTTTAACTCTTGATGTTTTCAACTTCCAAAAGCTTATTTTTTCTTTGACAGAATTTTTAGTGTCTTGTTTGTTAAGATGTCCTTCCTTCTCCCTCTCCATGGTACAATACTTTGGAGGCTTTCTTCATTCTGATGGTCTGTTTCATGCAAACTGCAGTTTTTCTATGTTTACTTTACTCCACCTTCCACCTATCACATGGCCTTGCTCTCTCATTATAACTAGGAGTGGCTTCCACCAGGCATGAGGAAGCTCTGTGAAGGGCAAGTCTGTCAACTGTGGGTTCCACCATGGAGCTACTTGGGCGAGCTGTCTGGCAAGTGGTCTCCAATGCCAGCGCCTTCAGGTCTTCCTGGGTTCAGTTGCCCGACAGACTGCCTGTCACTGGCCAGGAGGTCACCCCTGACTGAGTACCTTGGAGATGAATGGAAGGAGAGGGAGGGAGGAGTGGTGAGCGGTTCTCGGCACCTGTCTACTTCATCTTCCAACTGTTCAGAGTCCTTGTCCTAAACTGTGCCCTATTCAGGGTTCTTCCCCCCACCCTCTCCAGAGCATGGGTTCACAAACATCAGTGGGCCCATAGGACTTCTGAACCAATGGGTCTAAGATGTGCGTTTCTAAGCCTAAGAATGTGCATTTCTAGTGAGTTCTGCTGCCAGGCCACGACCACCCTTTGGGAATCAGTATGCTAAGAAAATGCAGTTTTGTCTCCCATTTTAAATCTTCACTGATGAGACACAATTACTCTGTGCAGTTAGCTGGGTGAGCTGTGCCAACCCTCTCTAGAGGGCTTCGGTGACCTCTTCTCAGCCAGCTCTCCTCCATTTCAATTGCTGGTTGCTGCCAACTCTGGCTTTTGGGGAGCTCTGTGGCAGGGCCCACGTAAGTCTGGGCTCTCCTGCTGCTATGTTGGAGGTCTGATTTCCTGAGTCTGCTCACCATTTAACTAATCTTCCACTGACTTTCCAGACTTCAAAGTCTGCTGTTGTGTTTTCTCTTTGTGTGTTTAATCTTTAAGAAAGACAGAAACAAAACTTCCCAACACTCTTCCTATGCTTTTAGGGGGCCTCAGGGAGGAGGCAGAGTAGATGTCTATGTCTCATGGCCCTCGTCTGCTCCTTGACATCCTTATCTCCAACAAAGGCACTTGGCCAAGTGGCCATCCCTCCACCACAGTGAGTCCATCAGGCCTAGGCCTCTGTTCGTGCTCAGCTTCCCTGTCCTCCAGGCAGCCTGGAGGCCTGACTTGTTTTCCAGGGTCCCTTTGGAAGCTTCTCAGTGCTCCTTCTCCCTGGATGTAAGTCCCGAGTAAGGAGGTCTTGGGCACCTGTCACTGTGCCAAGACAGAACACAGCCTATCAGATAGGTGCTGTATGGTCAAGCTCATGGAAAACCTGACATATCAGATGAGGGTAGGGGACCCTCGATGAATCTTTTCACAAAGTAAAGGTCACCTCCAAACATCCCAGGTTTGTATTTTTAGCTTTTAAAATTTGTTGAGGACTTGTAGGTAGATCAAAACCAGAGCTGGCCAGAAGGAAAAGTGGAAAGAGCAAGAATTCAGATCTTTGGATCACAGCACTGCAACCAACATGCAAGAGGCTTTCCTCCCCTGCTTCCTAAAGGAGAGAAGAACACTGGCTGGTTGACCACCAAGTCACCCCAGATGTAGGGACAGCTAATGGCAGTCTCTGCGACAATGCAGGTTTGGTTGCAGAACCCCAGCTGTGCTTAGTAGCTGACACAGTAGTCCAACGGGCACAGTGTCTCTCTGAGTGAATGCTAGCGTGAATGTTCTGAGTGAAGGCCTGAGCATGACACAGAGCAGGCCCAAGCAGACACTGTCTGCATCCAGGATCTCCTATGTACTTGGCTGCTACCCAGCTCCTGCTGAGACGCAAAAAGTGAGGCAGTGGAGAGAACACCGAGGGCGCTCTCTGATGGGCTAGGAGAGCTACTCGGCTCCTGGAAGGCAGGGGGAGAGGCCCCAGGCTGTGGCGGCACTACTCTGCTGCACCCCAGGAAAGAGGGTGAGACAGTCCTGTTCAGGCACCACTGCTCACACTTCTCACTGTGTCGTGACGCTCTGAATTACATGACATGGGACAGAATCTAACAAGAGTCACAAAGAATCCTGCTTTTGAAAACCTCAGGAGGGAAGGCTGGGCACGAGGAAAGAAAGGGTATGTGTGCAAACGTGTGCGTGACAGCTCCTCACTGTTCAGAAGCCACGTGAGGTCTTGGGAAAAGCAACCATTCTAGTGAAATCAATTGCAAAAATGCCAGGGGCTCAGGGGCAGCTGGCCAAATCCCACTAACATCTGTACATCTGGGGTCACAGCCCGGAGACCACTGCAGGCTCATGGTCATGGCACCTGGTGTCAAGACTAAGAACAATGCAAGGCCCAACGGAGAGCAGTTCTGTGTGCCTGGTGTGTACAGGCTCTGCTCAAGCCCATGTCCCTTGTAGAAGCATTTGTTTTACATTCATTATCCTGTAGCTTTGAGGCATGAGAGGCACAAAGTTGGGCCCACAACAGGTCTGGCTGGCCCCGAATCCCCCACTTCAGACCAAGCCAACCCGGCACTCTGTGCATGCAGGCACTGAGTTGAGGGTCTTCTGCCACTACTCCATGCAAGGGGTGGCCACTGTCGGTGAGGGCTTTGAAAAAGGCTCATTCTAAGTGAGGGTAATGGTGAGAGCAGCAGGGAGAGAGGTGTTTGTGTCTGAGGCACCTGGCAAAGAACAGCAGAGAACTGCCTGTCCTGGCTTGGGCCTGGCCAAGGATGAGACAATGGTGGCAGCTACACGTCCTTTCCAACTCAAACGATAGCTGGCAAGAGTGCTGTCTTCACAGGGATGAGACAAACACATGCAGGAGGCAGAAAAGGGCCCCAAACAAAGAGCAATGGGAAATGCTAGAAAACAGCAATGTAACCCCCAAGTCCTCCAATTCACCAAGAGTGGAGGTGAGCAGTCGTCACTGGACACAGAGCTGGGGACACTGGTGCTGTGCTCCAGGATGCTGAGGGAGGACCAAAAGGGGGGTCCCTCCTCCAGGCCCCTAGCCCAAGTGGGCAGCTGAGGGAGGCCACAAGCACCCCTCTGATCCAGCCTCTGCAGGATCCCACTGTGTGGTGACTCTGAGAAAAGTGGGTCCAAAAAGGGCTGACACCAGCAGAGTCCACAGTCCTAGGGCAGGAGAAGGTAACAGTACAACTCTCTGGTGAGGAGTAAGTAGACTCTAATGGCCCTTTGCTACACAGGAGGTTCTTGAGGCTAAACACATGCCAGGGGCTGTGAGCCTGACCCACAGAGCTGCGTTGTGGGTGAGGCGCATGGGAAAGGCAGTTCCCAGGAGCCCACTCCCCCAGAAGGCCCATATTCCTCAAGTACTCAGGCAGTGACAGATGGCCCTGTTGCCCTGGAACACTGGGTTTACGCAGGATTAATAGGAGACACACGAGCTGATAAATGATACTCATTTGCTTTAGGGGTTGGAGAGGTGTTCAGCTGCTGTCCCTTCTGCTGCTCCCTGTTGGCCAGCCTCGACCCAGCGCAGACTATGGGGATGCCTGGTCCCAGGCTCGACCAAGGCCCCACTGTTGGCACAGTACTGAGGGTGGAATGGTCGAGTTGCCCGGCAGCCGGACACCGGATGTCAAGGACAAGAGCGGACTTACCTGCCACCTCCTTGGATGACGACAGCCCTGCAGCAGCCTCCAGGTCGGCGGGCATGGGACCGCCTCTCTCCAGGGCACACACCAGATCCCGCAGCCGCTCGCACTCCTCCTGCAGCCGCGCCCGCTCCTCACCGAGGCGCCGCTTCGCCGTGCTGGCTGGGTTCATGCTCAGGTGCAGCACCTTGGTCCTGCTCCGGTCGTAGTCACCCTGCAGGACCACACAGCAGGTCAGCACTGGGCTCCCGTGACTAACAGGTGGCAGCCCTGACACTGAAGACCATGCTGGAGGAGGGGTGGAGAGGAGCCCTCCAGGGTGACTGCCTGTCCTCTCCAGGGCAGGGGGTAGGGTGGGATTGCAGAGGCAGCATGCCCACTGGGCTTCTGTCCTTCCTCAACGTGGGGCCAGCTGTTCCACTCCCCTGGAGGAGTGAAGACAAAGAACAAGCCATTCTCAAACTTCTGTGGGAACTCAACATACACGCATCCTCAGTCTCCTTAACATCAAGAGTAAAGCAGACTGTGATGAACATCTTTTAAAAGTGCTCATTTTTAGATTCTATCAGCAGATACTCTTAATAACTCCAGACTCTGCTACCCTAAAATGCAGCCCTTGGCAGGCCTTTCACCACACTCTGTCTCGAAGTCATTAAAAGGAGTGGTGCGGATTTTTAAAAAATCGACCTTCCAGAAAAATTGTGGTGACAGTGCAGAGTCCTCACACAGCCACATCTGGTCCCTATTATTAGGGACCACCTTTCAGCAGGGCTTTACCCCATCCTCTCAGGCTTGTGAGGGGAGGCAGCACCTCGGTGCCCATCCCCACGTCAGTGCCCTGTGAGGCCCTGCCGAGCAGCAGTCTACACAGACAGCACCAGATCACACGTATGAACAACACAGCAGTGAGGGCTCCCCAGCCAGGCCAGTCCTCCAGGTTCAGGTGTGAATTCTGAGTCTAAGGGCAGAATCTATATCATCTGCGACTCAGCTCTGCTTCTACCTGAGGACTGGCATTGGTCTTGGTGCCCTATTGCCAGAACCAACCCAAGATATGGTGAAAATGCTGCCCAGGAAAAAGTAACTTGCTTGCCCTGCACTGCGGCAACAGAAAGGGCAGAGGACAAGGTAGCCCTGTAAGAGAAACTGAGCTGAGGCTGAACCTGCAAGAGAAACATTTTGAACCACAGATCCAAGCGCAGATGGAGCTGCCCGCATCCACTGTCCCAGCATCTGCCCCAAAGTGTCCCCACACTGCTCTAGGCTGGTGTGGTGCATGTGGGTCTGAGCACCGTGCACTAAGCTTCCCTCGTGAGATGCGCTGAATTGGTCCACCCAGGTCCCAGGAAGCCTCTCTGGGATGTAAGGCCACGGGGAGAGAGGCTGGTCTTCCAGCCACCCCTCCTCCTAGGCAGAGTCCTGCCCAGCAGGTCCCAGCTCAGTGCCCAGGCTAGAATCACCCCCACTCCCCCCACCAGGGAGAAACAGGACAGCTGTTTTAAATGGCTAAGTCTTGGGGTATTTATAAAAAAGAAGCAGTAACTGATACTACTTACTACTGAGTAAGTCACACAGACACAAGATGACGACCCACACCTAGGGCCACCAAGAGCATCCTGGTTCCAGCCAAGTAGGTGGCAGGTTCTCGGGGTGGCCCCAGGCCAGTATCTCTGGACACTCTTAAAGGTAAGAAGAGGCTGAGGGGGTCATGCTGTCACATGTTCATATGGACAACAGGACCACACTGGTGAGCTTCATCCTCTCTTTGTCTTGTTTATGGCTGGGGTAAGAGTTACATGCCTTCCCTTGGACAGGCCATTCAGGGGCTTCCTGTTGCTATAGCAGCTGAGGGATCACACCTCAGCACACTAGGAATAAGGCACAAAAATCCCGGCTCTGGGGCATGCCCTGTTCCAGCCCTGACACTTGATCCCTACTATAAAAACTATGCTTAGATGAAATACATTGTAAGGACCAGGGAACAACGGTCTGGGCCCCAAAGCTATGACAAGCAGGCTGGCTCAGTCTCTCTGCAACCTCCCTTCCCCAGGTCACTTGGAGACAAGCAGGCAATGCCAGACTCCTGTTTTCTGGAGATGGCTAAAGATGGGCCAGCAATCCTTTGCTATAAGTGGATAGAGAGTAAATATTTAGACTCTGTAGACCACAATCTCTGTAGCAATTAGTCATCTCTGCCATTGTAATGTGGGAACAGCCACAGATAGTACGTAAATGAGTGAGCATTGCTATGTTCCAACAAAGCTTTATTCACTAGAACAAGCAGCAGGCTGGATTTGGGCTGGTGGCCCTAGTTTGCTGACTTCTGATGAAAAGAATCAGCGGAGAAAAACTGGAAGGAGAATCCAGGTCTCCCTGGTGGGATGGGCTGTGGGGACAGGGCGAACACTCAGGCAGGCAGAGAGGCCAGTTTTGGGGAAATCTGAAAGCCAGAGAGAAAGGAGAAATGGCCTGTGTCCCACAGGCAGACAGCCATTCTCTGGCTCCAGCCTGAGAGTCAAACCAAGGCACACTTCAAAACAAAGGAAAGAAAACATGGCCAAAGGAAATCAAAGTCCGAAATAGTTGGTAAAGCACCTAACACTTGCAGATTATGATCTGTACACTGTTAGATGACAACACTGGGTCCTCCCTGGTGGCGCAACGGGTTCGATCCTGGGCCAGGGAGGTGACCCACATGGCACAGCAGACCTCTCCTGACGCACCCACTGCTCCCTTCAGTAGTGTATTTTAGTACATATGCCTTGTTCTGCTCCCCAGTCTGTCTCTGGTGAACCCAATCACCCCTACCCCTGTACCTCTGGCCTATAGTCTAGTTCTGTATGCATAAATAAATAAACCTTTAAAAAAAAAAACCACTCCCAAACTCATCCTTGTATTCAATTCAAGCCCATCCAAACTCAGTGACTTCCTTGTGGAAATGGACTAACTGGTTCTAAAATCCACAATTCACTTGTGAAAACACAGGGGGCTCAAAAGAGACAAAATGACCTGGGAAAGGAAAGCGAAGCAGGAGCTCACACCTCTAAACCTGAGAACTTGCTATGAGGCCACATGGTCAAGGCTGTGTGGTGCCGGCCCAGGCTCAGAGCCCAAGGGAACAGAACTGAGCCAGAGACCCATGAGTCTATGGTTTCCTTAGGCCCAACAAGGGTGCTCGGGAAAACTAGTCTTGTTTTAAACAAACGTTGCTGAGAGAACTAAATGTCCACAAGCAAAGGGAGGAAGTTGAATTATTCCCTCAGATCATATACAAACATGAACTCAACAGGAATCCCAGGCCCTAAATGTAAAAGCTTTCTAAAACTACCCAACTCTTACACCTCATGACATTGGATTTGGCCATGGAGTTGATGATAAGACATTAAAAACAAGGAACAAAGGAAGACACAAATAATTTCTTCAAATGAAAAACCTTGTACTTCAAAGGATACTACTGAGAAAGTGAAAAGACACCCTCCAAAATGGGAGAAGGCATTTACACATCACATACCTGGCAAGGAGCTTACAACCAAGATATATGACAAACTCTCACAACTCAATAATAAAAACTAAATAACCTAATTCAACCATGGGGAAAGATCTGAATGAGTATTTCTCCAAGGAAAAGAACTATTTCTCCCTGGTCAATAAGCTCATGAAAAGATGCTTAATGTTATTAGGGGAAAAGAAATCAAAATCACAGCAAGAAATCACTTTACTCCCACCAAGGTGGCCGGAGTGAAAAAGTCAGACAACAGCAAGTACTGGCGAGCGAGTGTGGACGCGCCCTGGAGCGAGTGTGGACGCGCCGGGGATGCAGAGTCGGGGCAGGGCGGCTGCTGTGGATCACTAACTCGGATGATTCAATGCCGAGCTGCCAAACTGGCATGTGTCTGAATGAAACAAAGCACGTCCACACAGAAACTTGTGCAGAAATGGTCAGTGTTATCTGTAACTCCCCAAAGCAGAAGCAACCCAAAGCAGAAACAACCCAACTGTCTTTCAATGGATGAACAGGAAACAAACAGGCACAAAAAGGAATGAAACACCCCCAGGTGCCCCCACACGATGAGCCCTGATCCCAAGAAGCTCAGTGAGTGTCACAAAGGACACTGTGATTCCCTTCACGTAAAACGTCTCCACCAGGTAGGCATAGAGAGATGATGAGTTGCTGCTTAAGGCCGTAGATGTGGGGGGATAGCTACAGGGTTCAGGGGTTCTTTGAGGTGATATAAATACTCTATTCTAAAACTGAGTAAAGTGAGGGTTGTGAACATACTGAAAACCACTGAATTAAATACTTCAAATGAGTGGGCTACATGGCATGTCAATGACATCTCAATTAAGCTGATTTTGAAAAAGACAAAGGAACAAAGGGCGCAACAAATAAAGGGGTTTGTTTGCAGTGTGTGGACACTGCAGTTGCCTTGAGTCTGGTGCCAGGTGAGCTAAGACCACCCCCTTCCTCTTAATGCACACGATGGCAACTGCCAGTGGAGTCTGAAGAAAGAGGAGGCTGAAGGAGATGGACCCTGGAGAAAGCTCTGGAAGAAAGCAAAGTGCTGGTGTGAGGGAGCTATCTGGAGGGTGGGCCCTGTCACGAGGTGAGTGCAGGGAGGGAATCACAGGCCTCCAGAGGGCAGAGACCCTGCTCCCTGACCCTGCATAGCACTCCACCTACGCCACCTGCCCAGGACCCCCAGCTGTCTGGACCCTGGTGGTGAGGAGCAGCAGAAGGCTGGCATAGCCTGTACCCCAGGAGTATGCCCACCTAGCCCTGACAAGCTAAGTTCACTTGAATCTGTAGGTTGCCCTTGACATTATGCACTGCTATGCTTCCCACCATGACACTCCCTAAAATGGCTCAGCACTGCAGGGCCACTCTACCTCACTCAGGTCTATTTCACATTGAGCTTGTAAACCAGAACTGACACTGCCGAGTAGCAGCACAGTCCTGTCCAGTGGCCAGCCACCAGTGCCTCTGGGCAATGCCTCTGGCTGCCCGCCTGGGAAGACCCTGGAGGGGTCAAAGCAAGGCCCCTCTGTAGGACATACTTGGGTAGAAGTGCTTGGAACTGTGTTAGAACTACTGAGGCCCCTGTGGGCCTGGGTTTGCCGTAGGTGCCTGTCACAGGAACCTTCCACACTGCTCAGCAAGCCCACTGAAGTACCATTTTGGTGAGGAAGAATTTCCAATGGAGGAAGTGAGGGGGA